CATGTGATACTTAAGATAGTCCAGTTAGCTAGTAATTTACTAAAATATTTCTAAAAATAACCAAAAACTCTTTGCATGAATGTAAAGACCCATATTCAATTCCCGTTGAGGAGGAAAAGTTTTTCATTATTAAACAATTTTTAAGAATCTTATAAACACAAAATAATTTCTTCGATGTTTATTTAAGAATTATATAAATGTATAAAAATAGTTTTGAATATTTTTTTATCGTTTTTGAACTCTGTTTAAAAGATTTTTAAATATTGTAAAATTTTAATCTTGAACTTACTAAGTTCGTAAATTTTTTTTTAATGAAATTATTCTTAGTATATTTTTTTATTATTTTGTATTTTGTATTTATTTATTTATTTATTTTTTGATAAAATGTTTGATTTAAAATTTGAATAAAAATATAATTAATTTTATTCTTTTTATAAAATTTTAAAATTTTTAGCATTTTCATGTGTTCAAAATTGAAAAACACTTTAATGAATAAAAATAAGTATTAACTGATAGCTAGGTGGGTACTTTAAAATCGTTTTGCGAATTCAAGGTCTGCTTCAATTCGTGGTTTGTTCGTGCAAAACAAAACTATTGACCACACCCAGTTTTTGTTGGTACCTTGTCTATGATTGTGTATTTAATAATTTATATACTGTATGTATCGCTTCTTAGAAGTGTATCATATTGTAAATAAAAAAAAAAAAATAAACATTAAGAGATATTTAATTTAATAAAATGCTTTATATTATTAATGAATAATTTATACAGTTTCGTATTTACAGTAAAATAAAATAATAATGTACCCAAATAATAGATATGGTTTTTTTTATTCATATTATATTGAACTTTATTTTTGCAAACTTTTAGTTGTATTCTATAAAAAATGTTTAAACATTTAAGGTAAATAATAATATTTATTTATATACTGCAATTACTATAGTGATAAAATATTATTCGTTGGTATTTGTATATGAGATTTCTTATCGAAATATTGATTATTTTAGATACTGCAAATCAGAGCAGAGAATGTATTTTTTCTTGCGAATTACACCTTAATTTACATAATAATATTGGCTATTTTTGTATGAATATTATATTAATGAAAATGTATTTGTATAATATTAATTATTATAATGTAAAAGAAGTACTTCTTAACATCTAGTAGTTTAAATTTTAGTCTTTCAGCCATGTTATCTAGATGTGTAGTTAATTTATCAAGTGAACATTTTTAATTCAATCATATAATTTTTTTATTAAAACTTTATATTGGTAGTCTTCTACCCTTGATTAATTATATAGAATTGAAATTATTTAGTATACTACCTACTTATATTTGAAGAAGCAATTTTCAATAATTCGTTATCATTATGCTGACTTAATATATAGGGAATGTTTCTATTAGATTATAAATGTTTGCCATTAAATTATTTGTTATTTTATTATTAATTATTATTTATTAAGTTTAACAGGTAATTTGGAAATTTCGGTAAGTTTATAATTGAGGAATAATAAATATAATTAACATATATTCTGTAACGATTAATTAAAAAAAAAAAATAATAATAATAATTTTAAAAGTTCACTTGTAAGATTTAATATAATATTGTATAATTATTATACTTTAAAATATTTATTTAGAAAAGCCTTTCTATTGTTAATTGCTCTTTATAATAGAAAATTAAGAGTAATGCATAAATATCACTGTTTTACTGTGGATATTAAGATTGATATATATTATATTATTTGTTCGTATATCGTACACCTTTTCATTCGTGCATATATAAGTTATTGGAGAAAATTTCCTTTATATTCATTAAATAAATCAAAAATCTGTTCAAGTTGAAAATATTTGTATTTTTTATGAATGGTTATATTTATTTAAAAACTTTAATATAAATAATTTCAGTGAATAAAAAATTAATCAAATTATTGCACATTAAACTATTGTTTTTTAAACGTGAAAATGTAATTAAAATAAAATATTTAATTAAATTAGAAAGTGTGTAGGTACCTATATTTGAAGGTCTTTTAATTTTTTTTACAATCATCGTTGTGATTTAGTTTTATAAGTAAAATATCTTACTTCATTGAATAATGTTAAATTCCCATGTATTCAAGAAACTTTAGACAATAATAAATAAAAATTCATTAAGTAATATATACTTATTACTTATTATTCATATTTTTCACTTGGTACCTCAATCTGATTTTGATGTATTATAACAAAATATTTGTCTTTAAAATTGTATGTATTAAAATAATATTTTATACATGAATTTTGATGTTTCATAGTTGAAAATTTGAATTTATTACGACTTACGGTGAACTATAATAATTACTTTATATTATACATAAATGTCAGTACATCATTTCTAAAGGTTTCAAATATATTAAATATTTCTTGGATGTAAGTACATAAAATTCTCTTTACATTGAAAAATAGCTGTCGTCTTAATTAGCAACGTTTTATAATATATATATATATATGAATTTAATAATAATGTGTAAAAACACTAAGTATTACTTCGGTGGTGACATATTCGAGTGATGTAAGCCATAATAGTATAGTAATTATTCTAAAATTATAATTTTTTTTCTAGTTTGTTGGTTATTTTGTTTTGTTACTTCTTTTACTAAATTATTTATTGTACAAACATGAGCCACACCTGTGTATGCATAGTGATATTCACTATACTATAGGTAATACGAATATCATACTATAGAAGAGCCGAAATGCACCGTTGTTTAATACAAGCAGTAAAGTTGTTGTGTTAATTCATAGAACCTACTGCAAATTGTTATTATTATTTATTATTATTTCAATTATAATAATAATCAAAAAACATATTACTTAGTATGTAGTATATAGAATTATTATTTATTTATTAATTATTCGTCATACTTCTGGTGATAGTTGGTCATCGTATGATATTAACAAATAGTAATCGATGAATATGAAATTAATGTGTACATTATACATATTATATAGTATCATCTGTAGAACCGACTTAACCTACTTTCGATTAAAAATCAGTTTTTAAATTCGTTCATCAATTTTAAATTCTCGTGAAAATGACGACGTGATGTCGTGCTTTACCATACGACCACGAATATGAAATAGAGTACATTATATTAATGAAGAATGATATTGTGGGAATTATTATTTTCCGGTTAGGTTACTCGTGTATACAAAATTGTAATTATTATTATTTATTGTATAACGACAACGTTCGTTTCGCGCACATTGTATTATTTCTAAATAGATTTATTTTACAGTGTGTGTTTCTGTGTTTCTTTCTTCTCATTCCCACACTATAAGCTTATAAGTTGTAAGCGTTCGAAGTGCGTCATCGCCATTTAATTAAATGGTATTGACTGAATCGCGGTTAAACAGATTTTGCTATTTAGGAGTCATCTCAATATCTAACTTGTATATGTTAAAATATATGTGCACGAAAATGCATATTATTTTGTTGATTTATGTAGGATTAATGTATTTACCAATTAACCAGTTACCTGTGTAAATATATATATATGAAATTAATTTAACCTATGCTGGTGTTTTAAATAACGTTCGTGGAAATACGTGATTCATTTATACAACATGATCGAGGCTTTAGGGTGGCAAAGAGATAAGTTACAACACAGTAAAATGTACAATAATGATTACACTAACATTTTTAACAAAACTTTAAAGAGGAGGGGGGGTAAATTTAATATCGTGACACAAAATAATATGCGAAAGTAAATATGTTCATACTCTTACTAAGTATTGTCCAAGTGTAGGAACTTAAACATTTTATTCTTATTATATTATTTTAAAACTTTTATAATATTTACTGAATAAATTATAGTTTTTTAGCATTTTTATATTAAAAATAATTAATTAAGTCCCATTCGAGGTTAGGGAGAAGTAATCGTCTAAACGCTAATCCTTAATACTGTCACTGAATGATGGCGGTAAATCGATTCCGGTACTGAATTGATGTTAGTCAGCGCGATGGGGCCGTGCGTTAGTTATTGCCCGGAGAAATTTGAAAATTATGCATTAGTGCGTTATATAATAATCTGTTTTCAGCTGAAAGTCCAAACTGTTGCCGAAACTTGGGAAATTATCATACATTTGCATCCGATAAATTAATTATATATTTACCACATATTTTATTAAAAAAATAAAACATGAAAAACGTAATTGGCTTTTTTTTAGTCATTTGTGGTTATTTTATAAATTATATAGGTAATATACAGCGAAATTGTTATTTTCTAACCTTAAATAAAAATGTTTGTGTGTTTGTTTTATTTTTAATGTTCAATTCTATAATAAATGATTTCAGAGTAATTTATTGCTGTTGTCTGTTTTAGGTGTTTTTTTATAGATGTTTTATTCTTTTATTTTGCATCACACGACTCAACAATAAATTATAACTATTATTATTACTTAACTATAAAAAAAATCTATGAATTCTCTTAGTTTTTACCTATATTGTTTAATGTTAAAGTATATATGTATTGTACAGTTATTACACGTTAATCTCGCGTATTAACTCTACTTACATATATAGATGTACTGAACTATTATTTTCATTTAAGTACTTAACGAAGAATCTTTCAAGTTCGTTAATATTTTCTTGATACCTTTATTATATGTAGGTATTAATATAAGTAATACATTTATAATTAATACAAATATTTGCTCTATCTTACTATTGATAACCTATTATCGTGTTTTCTCTTTCGTTTTCAATAGCTAAAGTGAACTAGTATTTATAAATTTGACCTATTCTGTATTATACTATGCATGTATTTATATGTATATATATATGTCCTGATGACTTATTTATTATGTATATATTATATAATTTCCTGTTTTTGAATGAAAATAAAAACAATGTTTTTCTATTATTGATGCCTACTTTGTTTTCAGTGAAAACTGCACTGAATATGTTGTACTATAATTGTTATTATATAATATCCTTAACTTTTGTTCGTTATTTCAGTGAGCCGTTTGCACTGCGAGAGCGAATCTTTCAAGATGGAACTGATCTTAGATATCAACTCATGGATTTATCCTATGGATTTGGGTAAGTGTATTAATTAAATATATATATATATATAATATATATATACACATATATATCATGCCAAGGTGGTTCACTGTGTTCTCGTTTTTTTCTCCCATTATTACGTTTTAAGTATGATTTTGAAAACTTACGACTGCAGTTCGGGAAGGACCCTGTGTAGATAGTATATTAGTATGCATAAGTACTTGATTCTAACTACCTGCTACTAAAAGAGTTCACTCTTTTGCCGTCTCTAATCACGCAATACCCATACATAAGTGGCGTTATTTGTGTCACTCAACTGTAACTGATTTGTCACTCGGTTACGAGTAATAAACGAATTACGCTAATATTTTATAGTCGGTCAGTAAAATTTAGAACGGTATAATGAATAATGGAATAGCTGAGAGAGAGATTGCATTTCTAAAACGTATTCTTGAGAAATAAACAGATATTTGATTGTTTAATATACCTACGAATTTTAACCAGTCTGGACCAAATGATAAAATGTACGATTCTCGATCGTTTGGGTTTTTCGGCGTACGGCGTTTATAATAATAATAATATATAGTCATTATCGTGCCGTACCCGAATATACCGTTAAGCGTTTAAAAATTTTTACCATTCTGCTAATAGTGCTACAATATGTGTTACAATATATATTATTGTTATACCGCACAATATAGCCTATACACGATCGTGTCGGTACTTCAAACAATTCGCGTTCTTCAACACAGGCAGGTATTATTATTTATTATTATTATTATTAGTTGCAATTAATATTATTTTCGCGAACATACCGTTCGGCTGAACCGTACGATAAATTATCATCATACACAACATGATATTATTATAATAATAATATGATACGTACACATTTCGTACGATCGCTCGCGCTCGCGCGCGACCGCAGAACGTCGTCGCAGTCGTCGCCGTCGTCAGCGGCGGCAGCAGCCGAGGCGCCTAGCGTAGTAGCATATACACTCCTACGCCCGCCCCGCCGGCCCGTCAGTATATTTGGCAAAACGTGCGTGCGCGCCGCCGCCGCCGCCGAACACGGGAGGCCCCGAATGGGTTGGTGCGAAAGTTTTCGACGCGTAGGTTAGGTATATACCGCGGTGCAGTCGTAATATTTTGTCCGCGCTCGCGGGTTTTTCGAAAACCCCACCGCACACGCCAGTCACAAGTGCACGGCCGTGCACTCCCGTCGCTCATCACAATAATATTATACCATATTATTATTATTATTATTATTATTATTATTATACCGCCATCAGTCATCACCCGCAGTCGCCGCCGCCTTCGTTTTTGAACCGTGTATTGTGTGCGTACTGCTGCCGCCGTTTGTCGCACGTCGCTCCATGAGAGAACGCGCGCGCCGACGACGACGACGATGGCGTTAGTAGTTTTCTTGCCGCCGCCGCAGCCGCTTAACGCTTTGTCAACAACACGATCGCGACGCCGACTTCAGCGCTACGGTCTCCGCCGCCGTCACCGCAGCAGCCGGCCGCCGTAGTAATGCCATCCACTTTTACGGTAATAAAAAATAAAAAATAAAAAAAAAAATTACGCGATATTTTCCGTTTCGCGCGTTCGATAAGTCATGAACGTCGTCGCTTGTTATTTCACCTTACTCGAGCAATCGTGGTATTACGCCGTACCGGACATCGAGTATACCCGCGGCGTATTTTAGGCGGGCAAAAACCATAATATTGTAATATTGTTATGTACCTACGCGTTCCGCCGTCGGGAAAATATAATAATAATAGTAATAATAGTTATTATTATTATTATTATTGTTTTGCCGATAATATTATTTGCGCAGCCGTTTTAGCGCAAAATGTATGTACGCGCGCATTATTGTATACGATTTTATGCGTATTTAGATAATAATGATTATAACACTGTGTAGTGTATCGACGATATATTATATTGTGCGCGCGGACTAGATGTCGTCACTATGCTATCGGAGTGTACGGTGCCTACGAAGCAGCCGGTGCGAGTGTGTCGTAGTTTTTACTTTTTAGCTATAATAATTATTAATTATTATTATGTGTGATAATAATATATGCAAGTCCGTTAAAACGATTGGACGATGTCTACACGGAACTCGCGGGTAATATGTCATGATAATAATAATAATTGTGACAATTATTTTTGTCGTTAATGTTATACCTAATATAGGTGTTATAATCGATTTCAATAATAATAATTATAATTATAATTTTATTGTGTTTTAAATTAATTTCTATTATTACTGTCGCCGTTATAACAATAATATAATATTATTGACAACTGTTTAATACGAGTATGTTAATATTATCACGATGTTCCGTTGTTCGTTGTGATTCCAGTCTTGCGGATATCGATTCCCAGCTAACGCGTTTTATTATTTTCCGCTTGAAACTACGCGACGTCGGGTTTGGTGGACTGATGTTTTCATTTCGATAACGGTATTATTATACGTTATGCGAAAACACAGTGTGGAATTTCTCGACCCGGTAAAGACACTCCTCTGCCAAAATTCCTTCCTGACATCCGATTCAAACCGAAAATAAATCATTCAGCCCATAATAAATCCCCTCCTCCCCCTTCCCCCACCAACGACAACGCGAATTCTGTTTTGCGATGTATATGCGCTGCGTGACATCTTCGATTTTCGTAGACTTCGGGCCTTCGGCTATTTTACAAGACAGAAAGTATAAACCGCGTATAATCGATAAATATATATTATACATCGTTAGGTAGGTTAATTCGGTCAACGAATATTGGAGAATTAATAATTTCACTTTATAATACAAGCATATACCGTGCCGATTATTTTCGGTAGATGAAATTGGATATAAAATATTTATCATAATAAATTGCAGTGGTATTTTGTATGGATTTGAAATAATTTGGCAAGTTTTAGTAATTTTTTGTATGTAATGTATGTTTACGATAGTTTTACTGTAAATCTCTAGAATTCACTTAACATCAATTTATTTTAATAAATAATATATGTTTATTTTATTATAATATTATGCGTTTGGTAAGTTGTTTTACAAAATAATTTTTTTTTTTTTTTTATTGCCATTAAGTTTGAGGATTTTTAACTATCATGTTATATGCTTTCATTTGTTAATTAAATACTACTTCTATTCTTTTTTCATAAATAACAGAAAAATAAAAAAAAACACTTTTTAGTTAATATTTTTTATTTACTCGTTAAGTATGCAAAAAAAAATTGTCAAAGTATGAGGTACTTTTGCTGTTTCTTGTATGGTGTCTGTACATTTTATAAAAATGCTATTAAATAGAGATCATCTGGAATGATGATTTAAAAAATTATGAATAATTTTAACTATATTATTATAAAACAATACGTGCTCATTCTACTGTATACAAAACTAGATTATTTTCATTATGCATAAGAACGCGATTAAATATTTTTTTTGAAATCCTTTTCTTTGTACAGTTGTGCCTACACTTGTACCTATTTATTGCGTATCAATTACAAACTGTAACTCGTTTGTTTTTTTATTGTGTAATAGCTTTTAGTTTTCGAGAAAACACTAGCTAAGTTCTACATTAAATCGCACATTTTTTTTTTCACGGAAATCCAAAAATAAAATTGCTTAAAGTTATACATCATTGCTGTCTAATTGTATTATTGAATAGTTGCCAAAATGTAAACGTTTTTATGCGAATATTTATGCGTTTATTACGTGCTGTTCGTCTCCGATGGTTCCGATATAACGTTATATTTCGTGTGACGTAAAAGCAACACGATATTATAATCACGCAGTCGTATCGATGCGAATATACAATGAAAATTCGTCGTTCGTCTCGCCAAACGCCCGTGCAGCTGTTGGTGTGTTACTTATCGTACAAAATATATTTTAATGTTTCGTGCGAAAAGGAAGAAGAAGATATAAAAAAAAAATCTTATCGACTTAACGTCGCAAACTCGAAATATCAGCGCGATGAACAGAAGAGGAAAGGTACCCTCCCATATCCAAAATACTGTCACTTGCGCTTCTGCTCGGAATACGAAATAATATTGTCACCGCGTTGTACCTGCAGTCGGTCGTGACTATTGTTGAATAATAATAATAAAAAAAAAACCACGAAAAATTCATCGGGGAGGGGAGCTTTATCTCTCGTACCGTATTAAAATACGATGTGTTCGGAAGAAAAATAATATTATCCAAGGTTGCCGCCGCCGTCAGCTGGTGATGTGCCACACACACACATATACTCACACACTCACACCATCGGATCGATTCGCCTGCCCGCCCCGCCACCGACCTTTGTGCCAGTCCATCGCCCGCAAACGCGCGCGCACGTTCTCTCCGCCGGTGGAATGACGCAACACCCGGCGTAGTGTGTCAGGTCTCTGACGCGCCGGTCCGACTGTTTTTTTTGTTTTTTTCGCTTCCACTCTCGTCTGACCGCCCCGCCGCCGCCGCTGCCGCCCGTGCGTCGATGTTGCCCCGTTCCCGCACAATCGGCATAATTCCCTCCGCGGTTCGCGCGCGCGCCAGGCGGCGCTCCGCAAGCCCGCCGTACCGCCGGCCGGCCGCGGCGGCGGCGGCG